CATCCATCCATCCATCCATCCATCCATCCATCCATCCATCCATCCATCCATTATCTTCCGCTTATTCCGAAGTCGGGTCGCAGGGGCAGCAGCTTGAGCAGGGAAGCCCAGACATCTCTTTTCACAGCCACCTCTTCCAGCTCTTCTAGGAGGATTCCAATACATTCCCAGGCCAACCGAGAGACATAGTCTCTCCAGCATGTCCTGGGTCTTCACCCGGGGTCTCCTCCCAGTTGGACAAGCCCAAAGTACCTCCCTAGGGAGGAGCCCAGGGGGCATTCTTACCAGATGTCTGAACCATATCAACTGGTTACTCTGGAGGAGTAGCGGTTCTACTCTGATTCTCTCCCAGATAACTGAACTTCTCACCCTATCTCTAAGGGAGAGTCCAGCTACCCTGCGGAGAAAACTCATTTCAACCACCTGTATCCGCAATCTGATTCTTTCGTTCACTACCCAGACCTCATGACCATAGGTGAGGGTAGGAACGTAGACCGACCAGTAAACAGAGAGCTTTGCCTTACAGCTCAGCTCTCTCTTCACCACAATGGATCGGTACAGAGTCCTCAATACTGCAGATGCTGCACCAATGTGTCTTTCAATCTCACGCTCCATTCTTCCGTCACTCGTGAACAAAACCCCAAGACACTTGAACTCCTCCACTTGAGGCAGAACCTCACCCTCGACCTGAAGAGAGCAATCCACTCTTTTCTGGTTGAGGACCATGGCCACAGATTTGGAGGTGCTGATCCAAGCAGATTCACACTTGGCTGCAAACCACTCCAGTGAGAGCTGAAGATCACGGCACGATGACACCAACAGGACCACATCATCTGCAAAGAGCAGAGATGGAATCCTGAGTCCACCGAACCGGAAACCCGCCGCCAGCTGGCTGCACCAAGAAATTCTGTCCATAAAAATTATGAACAGAATCAGTGACAACGGGCAGCCCTGGCGGAGTCCAACTCCCACCCGGAAGGGATCCAACTTACTGCCGGCCATGTGAACCAAACTCTAGCGCCGCTTGTATAGGGACTGAACAGCCCATAACAACTGGCCTCCGATCCCATACTCATGGAGCACCCCCCACAGTGTACACCAAAGAACACTGTCAAATGCCTTCTCCAAGTCCACAAAACACATGTAAACTGGATGGGCAAATTCCCATGACCCCTGAAGGACCCTAGTGAGGGTAAAGAGCTGATCCAGTGTTCCACGGCCAAGGCGGAACCCACATTATTCCTCCTGGATCTGAGGTTCAACCAACGATCAGACTCGCTTCTCCAGTACCCACAAATAGACCTTACCAGGGAGGCTAAGAAGAATGATGCCCCTATAAAAACCCCAAGACACTTGAACTCCTCCATTTGAGGCAGAAACTCACCCTCGACCTGAAGAGAGCAATCCACCCTTTTCTGGTTGAGGACCATGGCCACAGATTTGGAGGTGCTGATTCTCATCCAAGCAGCTTCACACTCTGCTGCAAACCACTCACACTCACACAGTGAGAGCTGAAGATCACGGCACGATGACGCCAACAGGACCACATCATCTGCAAAGAGCTGAGATGGAATCCTGAGTTCACCAAACCGGAAAACATCTGCCAGCTGGCTGCACCGAGAAATCCTGTTCATAAAAGTTATGAACAGAATCAGTGACAACGGGCAGCCCTGGCGGAGTCCAACTCCCACCCTGAAGGGGTCCAACTTACTGCTGCCAATGCAACCAAACTCTAGCACCGCTTGTATAGGGACTGAACAGCCCGTAACAACGGGCCTCCAATCACATACTCACGGAGCACCCCCCACAGTGTACACCAAGGAACATGATCAAATTAATTCTCCAAGTCCACAAAACACATGTAGACTGGATGGGCAAACTCCCATGACCCCTGAAGGACTCTAGTGAGAGTAAAGAGCTGACACAATGTTCCACGGCCAAGACGGAACCCACATTATTCCTCTTGGATCTGAGGTTCAACCAACGATCGGACTCGCTTCTCCAGTACCCCTGAATAGACCTTACCAGGCAGGCTAAGATGAATGATACCCCTACACACCCTCCGGCCCCCCTTTTTGAAGAGGGGAACCACCACCCCAGTCTGCCAGTCCAGTGGCACTGCCCCTGATGTCCATGTGATGTGCTTCCACTGGGGTCGATCCTAAGAAAACATGTATTCCATTCCATTGCTACGCCAATGACTGTCAGATCTACCTGCCACTGAAACCAGCCAGTGCTTGTTCCGTCCACCCTCTCCTCAAATGTCTGGACGACATTAAGACATGGATGGCTTCAAATTTTCTAAGTTTTAACGACCAGAAGACTGAAGTCATTGTCTTTAGCCCTAGCTCAGCTGCCGCCTCTTACCCTGTGAACCTGGACTCCCTTCAGCCTTATCTGAAGCACTCTGTTAAAAACCTCGGAGTGTTTTTTGACTCGGATTTTAAGTTCGACAAACAGATCAGTTCGGTTCTGCAGAGAAGCTTCTTCCAACTGCGGCAGGTAGCTAAGCTCAAGCCAGTGCTGTCTAGACCCGACCTTGAGACACTAGTCCATGCATTCATCACAACCCGCCTGGACTATTGTAATTCACTGTATGCTGTGGTCAGCCAGGCCTCTATCTCACGGCTACAGCTCGTCCAGAATGCTGCAGCTCTGCTTTTAACCGGTACACCGAGGTATGAGCATATCACACCAGTTCTGTCCTCCCTACACTGGCTTCCTGTGAGAACTAGGATTGATTTCAAAATTCTCCTCCTGACCTATAAGTGCCTAAATGGCCTCGCACCCATCTACCTCTCTGAGCTACTGGAACCATATGTTCCCTCTCGGGCTCTGAGATCATCCGATCAGCTGCTTTTGGTTGTTCCAAAAACACGACTGAAGCTCCGAGGAGATCGGGCGTTTTCAGTCATGGGTCCCAAACTGTGGAACAACCTACCCCCCAACATTAGGCATGCCACCTCCCTTCCTGTGTTCAAATCCCTGCTAAAAACATATCTGTTCTCTCTGGCGTTTCATACTGTGTGAGTTGATTTAGTATATCTTGTTCCATGTCTTCATTTTAATGCTGTTGTTTTAATTTTTTAAGGTATATTCTTACTGCTTTTTATTTCTCAGTGTTACCCTTAGTGTTAAGCACTTTGATAACAGTCTATCTGTTTTAAATTGTGCTCTATAAATAAATATGACTTGACTTGACTTGACTTGACTTGATGTTGCAAAGGCGTGCCAGCCAAGACAGCCCCACAACATCCAGAGCCTTAAGGAAATCAGGGTGAATCTCATCCACTCCTGGAGCCCTGCTGCCTCGGAGCTTTTTACTACCTCGGCGACCTCAGCCACGGTTATGGACGGATCAACCCCAAAGTCCCCCGACTCAGTTTCCTCCATGGAAGACATGCTGGTGGAATGAGAAGGTCCAAAAATTATTCCTTCCACCTCCCGATGACATCACTGTTTGAGGTCAACAGCACCCCACCTTCACCTGAACACAGTGTTAGTAAAGTGCTGCTTTCCCCTCCTCAGCTGCCTGATGGTTTGCCAGAATCTCCTCGGATCCGACCGAGAGTCTCTATCCAAGGTCTCACCAAACTCCTCCCACATCCAAGTTTTTGCCTCAGCAACAGCCAAGGCTGCAGATCGCTTGGCAATCCAGTACTCCTCAGCTGCCTCCAGAGTCCTACTAGCCAATAAGGCCTAATAGGACTCCTTCTTCAGCTTGACAGCCTCCCTAACCTGGGATGTCCACCACCAAGTTTGTGGATGCCCACCGCGAGAAGCACCGACAACCTTGCGGCCACAGCTCAAGGCAGCTACCTCAACAAGCGAGGTGCGGAACATGGCTCACTCTGACTCAATGTCCCCCACATCAGCTGGGACGCGGTTAAAGCTCTCCTGGAGATGTGAGTTGAAGATCTCTTTGACGGGTTCTTCTGCCAGGCATACCCAGCAAACCCTCACCACACGTTTGGGTCTACCGGGTCTGTCTGGCATCTCCACCCCCCCCATCTGATCCAACTCACTACCAGATGGTGATCAGTTGACAGCTCAGCTCCTCTCTTCACCCAAGTGTCCAAAACAAACGGACGCAAATCAGATGACATGACTAAGAAGTCAATCATTGATCTACGACCTAGGGCATCCTGGTGCCAAGTGTAAGTAAGTAAGTAAGTAAAGTTTATTTATAAAGCGCTTATCACAGACATAAAAAGCGCTGTACATAAAATCAGACATAAAATCACAAAGCGCAGTACAATAAAAATCTCCGCTAAAATATACAATTATAATTGCCCCCGACAGCATAGCACCGGTGCCCATGTCCAGCAATCACTGTGCGAGAGGCGGGGGACACCCTGGACAGGTCTCCAGTCCATCACAGGGACACATTTTTCAGGACTCTCTTGTAAATGAGTCCCCGAGGCTCAGTGGGACTAACCTGTATAAATACAGTTTGAATGAACACAGAGACAAACGAGGCAAACAACCATTCACTCTCTCACTCACACCTAGAGACAATTTAGAGTTACCAATCAGCCTAACATGCATGTTTTTTGTCTGTGGGAGGAAACCGGAGCACCCGGAGAAAACCCACGCATGCACGGAGAGAACATGCAAACTCCACCCAGAAAGGCCCCCGAACCAGGATTTGAACCAGGGGAACCTGCTCACCGAGAGGCAGCAGCTCTAGCAACTGCACCACCGTGCTGCCATTATCACTTCAGTTTCTTTAAAAAGATGGAAGAGGCATTTGTTTGTTTTATAGAAATGTTGTTCTCACGTATATATCTCTGTATATGATCTGTAGGTTAATTTATTTTTTATTTTTACAGTAGGCTGAGCCTACAGGAAATAAATACCTGACCACTGTCCAAGCATGTCTTGTAATGTTCAAGAATTATAAAATGTTTGTACTTGGATATAAAAATTACCCCCTCACCCCCCCACCACCGAACTGACCAAAACATTCAGGGTTTTGAGCTATGAAAGTTTGGAATATTGGACATTGTGTAAAAACCTTGTTCTTGTCATGGCTTCACAAAGATTGACCACAAGTAGCTTGACTCTGAGAAACAAGACCACTGACACATCATGAAGTATCTTTTGCCTGATTGTTTCAGCCTGCCATCAAATATTCAATAATAATGACACCAAACAATAATAACCTGAATAGTTTCATCCTGAAGTCGTTGAAATGTGTCTGCAGTGCAAACATCAGATGCTGCTCTTGTGTGTCAGTACTGGATACCCATGTTTACTATCGTAGCAGCCAATCAGTGTGTGAACTGAACAACTCGGCTCAATTCTGCAGGGAAATGTTGACACAAATTTAAAACTGTAATTGTGAAACCACTGCTATCAGAAGTTTTCTTTTTGTACTGATTAGATATCATTGTTTCTTTTCACCAGGCAACACGTCAGAACTCCTTAATATTTCCACGTGGACAAACAGTACTGATCTGGTATGTCGTGTTCTTGTTTTGGTAGACCAGGATGAGTTGTGTGGGTTCAGAGAAAATGTTTTCACATATGCATTTTTGTTTCTCCACGTCCATGACTCGTATGCTCCTTGTGTCTGCAGCCGGAGAATGCCAGCTGGGCGTTGCTGACTAAGGAGCAGTGTGAGATTAGTGGAGGGCTCTTGGTTGGAAATGCCTGCGACTACGTGCCTGACATCACCCTCATGTCCTTAATCCTGTTCTTTGGGACCTACACCTGCTCCATGGGTCTGAAGAAGTTCAAGACTAGCAGATTCTTCCCCACGACAGTAAGTCATGGTCCCCATCTCTGAACTAATATTTATTGCTGGAAAGGCGAACATAATGCCCGTGTCTGTGTGCTTCACCTCAATTTGGTGAAGTACTGCAGCTGCAATCTGAAGCACCACTTTGTACTGAAAGACGTATGGGTGTCCACACTGTTCATAATGACATCACCTCTGTGGGGGCAGTTTTATGCAAACAGGACTTTTGATCCCTCTCTTTATCTTAGTGACTCTTCTTAAGTGATACAAAAACAGCACAAAGTCTGTGAGAACGGGAGTCTTAAAGACAAACTGTTGTTTCAAAGGAGCGTACACAAATGTCCGTTCAGACCAGGAAGTAACAGGCTCGCCAACATTTACGCTGATTTATGTGTCAGGAAAAGGAGTTCCTTAAAAAGAAAATACAACTGAGATTGTGTGTTGATAAGCTATGAACAACATATTTGGATCATAAGATTGAGAGCACTTCACTTTTTAAAATGAAACTGACCTGAATAAATTTATAATAGTCCGACAGATGAAAGGTAAGGTCAACAGAATCATACAAAGTAGAGCATGAACAGTTTCAGCCCAGAGTCCCCCTCAGACATCTAAAAGTTCAATCTATGGATTTATTTCAGTTTGAACCAAAAAGTCATGAAGTTTGCATTAACCTCCTGCTCTGTGGATGCTAATTTTACAAACAAATGTTTTTCCTCCTCTTAAACAGACCGTAACAGTTCCTAAAAGGTTCATTTTTGTTTGGTATGGATAAGAACACTGTCTGACCGGCTGTGTTTGCAGGTGAGGAAACTCATCAGTGACTTTGCGATCATCTTGACCATTCTTCTCTTCTGCGGCATGGATGCCTTAGTTGGTGTGGACACTCCAAAGCTGATTGTGCCTAGTGAATTCAAGGTAAAGAAGTACAAATTGCCATTACAGCTCATATTGCACTTGAAGTTGTGACTTTTTCGAGCAGAAAGACAGTGGTCAGGCATGTCCAGTTTCCTCGGATTACACTTTTAATGATCCATGTTGCTGGAAGAAAGCCCCTCTAATTCTTTCAAATCTCACTATAATGCTCGCTTTGTACTTTGCACGGCAGGATGCATATTACCTGAAACTAAGACAGACATTCTTGGTGATTGCTAAGCTCAAATGTTCCTCCACTGGCCCCCGCAGACCCTCGCTTTGGTCCAGAGGGGGGTAAAAGTTGATTACAGGTGATGTGAGAACAGACAGTCCTCTGGTTGGAAGTACAGAGGCAGCTTTCTTTCACCAAGAAGGTTGAATACAGTCTGTTCGTCATGTAATGATGCACCAGTAATCCCAAACTCAAGACTTACTGACTTCTTCAATAACTGCCTCACACTGAGTTCCTGTTTTTCTTAAGTGACTTAAATCTACGCTGAAGATGTACTGCACTCAGGAATGCAATCTCAATCCTGAAAACGTGAGAGGTTTTGTAAAACGTAAATAAAAGCCAACAACAATCATTTACATACAGTCTCTCATAAAACTATATTTAATTTATAATAAAGAAAAGTAAACATATTTAATGTTTTAAGTAAAATTATTCAATGTTTGGGGAAAATAATGTAATTTGGAAGTTTATGGCAGCAACACATCTCAAAACAGTTGGGACAGGATCATATTTACCACTCTGAAGCATCCCTTCTTCCTGTAACGACAATCTGTAAACATCTAGGAACTGAGGAGACTGCTGGAGCTACTGGAGGGGAATGCTTGTCAAACTTTTTCAAAATTGGGGATGTAGTTTAGAATTAGTCACATTGTTTTTATTTTCTACCTTTTAACATTTTTTGTCTTCCTCCATATGTTTTTCCAGCCAACAAGTCCACTGAGGGGCTGGTTCATCCCTCCCTTCGGAGGAAACCCCTGGTGGGTGTACTTGGCAGCTGCACTTCCTGCTCTGCTGGTCACTATTCTTATATTCATGGACCAGCAAATCACTGCTGTGATTGTCAACAGGAAAGAACACAAACTCAAGGTAGGTGGAAGGACGAAATAAGTGCAAAATGTCTCTCCACAGTATGACGAAGCCATTTAGATCTGCAGAATCAATATAAATAAGACTTTAGAACATTTGTTGGTAAATTGCAGATTAGCATTTTTTTGTTTACTAAAGTATTCCATTTATTAGTTAATGTTGCCGTATGTTAGACTGGTACAGGACATGTTTGAGGACAGCAGGACAGTGGTGAGATGTGCTGTAGGAGGGACATATAGCTTCAAGGTGGAGATGGGATTGCATCAATAGCGCCGGAATGGGGTGGTGGGAGGGTGGTGGCAGGGGGCCATTGGCCCCATCACTTTATGGCCCTGTTCATCAACTGGTCCCAGACATTTACATGAGCTAACCCCAACGTTGACAAGCAGTGACTGACGTCTGTGTGTTTGTGTGTGTACATACAGACAGAGGCAAAACCTACAGCATTCAGATCTGGGCCAAATCCATTTACAAGTCGCCAGATCCACATAACGGTCACCAGAGGATTTACGTACATGCACCAGCTCCGGCTTGGGCTGGGATCATGAGCCTGCCTGACACCTGCAAAAAATGTTTTGGCTCTGATCTGGTCCAGGTCTGGACCAAATCACCCTAAAATGAAATAATTATAATATATTTGTGTCACAGCTGGCCCAAATGCAGTATTTATAGCACCTGTGGGCCACCTCGCAACAGCAGAAAAGTTTCTCAGAGTTCAGTTAGTCCCGCCGGTGACAGTCCTCAGACCCCCGTCCACTTTGACAGCAGACTCTCTGAGACCCAGAGTCCAGCCGGTTCGGTCCTGTTGGGTTTCCGTCCTGTCACCATGCAGTCTGGCTTTCTCCTGTGTGTAATGGTCCTGCTCTCCTCCTTGCTGCTTTCTGAAGAGTGGGTCATGGTCCGGCTTTTTGCCCTCAGCTGTCCGGAGACCTGTGACCGATCCTGGTGCACCCAGGTCCCGGCGGACTGCCTGGCTGGGGACGTGCTGAACTGCTGCCCAGGGTGCACGTCCGGAGAGGGCAAGCCGTGCGGCGGCTCTGAAAAGCTGGACTGCGCCGAAGGGATGGAGTGCATGCTGGGCAGCAGCCCAGGGGCATCCGCCACAGTCAGGAGGAGGGCCAGGGCCGGTGTGTGCGTGTGCAGCAGCTCGGAACTGATCTGCGGCAGGGAATAGGTGGAAGAGAACTTGGAGAGGTGGAGGTGTGCTCTTGAAAGAAGAGGAATGAAAGTCAGCTGTAGTAAGACAGAGTCCATGTGTGTGAATGAGAGGGAGGAGGTGGAACAGTGAGGCTACAAGGAGCAGAGGTCACAAAGGTGCAGATCTTCAAGGACTTGGGGTCCATTGTCCAGGAAAATGGGGAGTGTGGTAAAAAAGTGGAAAAGAGAGTCCAGGCAGGATGGAGTGAATGGAGAAAAGTTTCAGGAGTGATTTGTGACAAAAGGGTGTCAGCAAAGGTCAAAGGAAAAGTTTGCAAACAGTGGTGAGACCAGCTATTTTGTATGGTCTGGAGACAGAGACATGGACAAAAAGACAGGAGAAAGAACTGGAAGTGGCAGAAATGAAGATGTTGATGTTCTCCTTAGTGACAAAGATGATAAGATTAGGAATGAGATCATCAGAGTTAAAGCACAGGTTGAACAACTGAGAGATAAAGTTAGAGAGGACACACTGAGATGGTTTGGACATGTCCAGAGGAGGGACAGTGGTTTGGACATGTCCAGAGGAGGGACAGTGATTATATTGGTAGAAGGATGTTAGAAATGCAGCTGCCAGGAAAAAGACAAAGAGGATATGTATGGATGCAGTTAGAGAGGACATGGAGGTAGTTGGAGTGAGGACAGAGGATGAAGAGGACAGAGAGAGATGGAGGAGGATGACTCACTGTGGAGACCCCTGAAGAGGGAATAGCCGAAAGAAGAAGAAGAAGAAGAAGAAATGCTTGTACTGATTAACTGAGAATTAACTGAAGATTAACAGAGATTAACGCTTTGATTGAGGCATATTAAAGTAGCTTCAAAGAGTTATTCTGAGATGAAGTGATGTGATGATGAAAAGAGACTCTTTAAACAAAACATTTAGTATATTTTGTAGGAGGAAAAAACTCCCTTTGATTTGAACCTTTAGGTTTTATACATGTACAGAGGTACACAGAGATACACCGAGGTACACCGAGGTACACCAAGATATACAGAGGTACACCGATATACAGAGGTACACAGGGGTACACAGAGATACACAGAGGTACAAAGAGATACACTGAGGTACACAGAGATACACAGAGGTACACAGAGATACACCAAGGTACACAGAGATACACAGAGGTACACAGAGATACACAGAGATACA